CCGCATCCTGTAGGTCAGCACCACTCACCAAGTTCGTAGAGAACGAGGGGAGGTAAAGACCAGACAGGGTGCCAGAGGGGGCCGCCGGACACGGGAGGACAGTGGAGAAGTGAGCAAGGATAGGACCCCCAGAGAGGTTTGCTAGAGAGACTGCAATTGGTCGGCCAAGCGGCGTGAGTGTGGTGCGGTCTCGAAAGAAGGGTGAAGCCCCCAAGTCAAGGGTGAAGGTGTGGGAGGCCGAAGCCGACGTAGTACCTGAGAGAGCAGACTCACCAGCACGTGAGGGAGCATGCGCACGAGCACCTAGAGCAGCAGCCTCGCTAGCACCTAGAGCACCAGCCTCACCAGTACCTAGAGCAGCAGTACCGATGCCTGGGTCCGGCGGAAACCACCGGTAACAGTCACCCTCATCACAAATAGTCACAGCATACATGGCAGCAAGAATAGCATCAAAGTCAAGGTCAAAGACAGCTACTCCCACCCTAGACAACTCGCCCCAGCGGGGGATCTCAGTGGCCTCAGGGAACAAGTGACGCCAAGCGTCCGTCAGGCAGCCAAAGCAGCGCTGGGTGGAGTGCGCACCCCCGCACTGCTCACCTGCGCGGTCGCCGGTGCGTAGGACGTAGGTGCACGGATCAGTACCCCCACCCCGCTGGCGTGCAGCGTACCACTCACGGAGCTGCTGAGGGGGGGGGATGTCACGACTGCGCTGCTGCTGCTGCTGCTGGCGCTGACCACCACCAGAGCCGACCCTCTGCGCAGCGCCACCCCGACCAGCTCCACCTCCTCTGCCGCCGCCTCCTCCACCGCCGCCACCTCCGCCACCTCCGCTCCCACCGCCACCGTCGCCGCCGCCTCCGCCTCCACTGCCGCCACCGACACCTCCACCCCAGCCACCACTCCCACCACCACCCCCACCCCCTCCACTGCCTCCACCGCCACCTCCGCCACCCCCGCCAGCCCCTCCAGCACCCTTGCCCCCCTTGCCCTTGCCGGTGCGGCGTCTCCCGCTCGGGGTAGACGCAGCGCCAACTGACTCGAAACCAACGAGGTCGGCCGCAGCAGCAGAGGCAACAGAGGGCAAAAGGGGGGAGGGGGAACACCCCTCAAAGACGGGGGTGCGAGGGTCACCACGAGAGGCTCCTACAGCGACTATGCTCTTCTCTGCTGCTAGAAGGGCCTTCTCGAGGAGGTCAACGGTGAGAGTGGTGGGGCAAACTGAGAGGAAGTGGTCTCTGACTACGCGAAGGGAGTCAGGGAGCCGGGTGACTATGTAGTAGAGGGTGATGTACATGGGGGGGATGGTTCTTGGCGTAGAACTCAGCAGGAAGCGCAGCGCGGTAGCGAGTGACACTAGTGTGGAGGTGCGTAATGAGGTCAGCGACTGTGGGAAAGGCAGCAAGGTCAGGGAAGAGGTACGGTAGCATGAGGCGGCTCAGTGCAGCAGTGGCAAGGGAGGAGTAGCGCGCAACTACAGCGTCGTACAAGGTCTGAGCACTCTTGTACTGGCTCAAGTGTGCACGCTCAGAGGTAGGCAGGTGGCAACACACAGCAAGACGTGCAGCAGCATCGCGTGTGGCCCACTGTGAGCGAACAGTGGCGTCGGCATCAGCAGCAGGGGCAGGAGAGGCACCAGAGGTGAGGTCAAAGAGGGAGAGACCGTCTGCCCTATCGCACTGTAGGAAAAGCTGCAGGTCATCTACCCAGACGTCAAAGTCAATGGCCCGACCCTCAGCGTCAAAAGCGAAGACACTAGTGGTAGCCATGACAGCACTAGACTAGCAGCTCGGCGGCGCCGGCGGCTCGGTGGTGACGGCAGGGCCGCGTGGGGACGGCGGCGGGGCCGGGTGGAGCGGCGGCGGGGCCGGGTGGAGCAGCGTCGGGGCCGGGTGGAGCGGCGTCGGGGCCAGTAGAGGCGGCGCCGGGGCCGGGAAGGGCAGCTCCGGGGCCGCAGGGGTAGGCGACGGGGCCAGCGGAGGCGGCGCCGAGGCAGAAAGGGCGGCGCCGGGGCCGCAGGGGTAGGCGACGGGGCCGCTAGGGCGGGTAGGAGGGGGGGGTCGCGAGGGCGGCTTGAAGAGGCCGCGAGGGCGGCTAGAAAGGGCTGCGAGGGCTGCGTAACAGGGCCGCGAGGGCGGCGCGACGCGATGGAGCCGCGAGGGCGGCGCGACGCGGCCGCTAGGGCGGCGCGACGTGAAGGGGCTGCGAGGGCGACGCGACGGGGCCGCAAGCGCGACACGACAGGGTCGAAAGGGCGGCTCGACGGGGCCGTGAGAGGGGAGCGCGACTCGGGCAGTGTAGAGCGCGCTCCGGGCAGGAAAAATAAAGGTGGTGGGCCCTAGGAGCAGTTCCCACAGGGGAACCTGCTCGATACCATGAGAAACTGAACGAGAATGGAATGACTATGGGAAAGTTGGGTACAAGTGCAAACCCTAGAAAGCTGTACCCCATATGTGCTACCCCACTATAGCCTATAGTAGCTATGTCATATAAATCTCACAATGGGTACTGTTGGGTCTTGTCCGTAGTTTAGGTAAAATGGTGACTGTTGGGTAGAGGCGGATGGCGAGTTGTTGTACGCGAATTCGATTAGTGGCAGTTGCTGTTCCCACGTGGTCGGGTTGTCACACGTGGCCTTGATGAGCTGTTCCATGGTCTGATTTGTCCGTTCTGCCTGTCCGTCGGTTTCGGGGTGGTATGATGAACTGAACTGTAGTCGTGTGCCGAACTGCTGCCACAGGTTCCGCCAGAAGTTGCTGGTGAATTTCGTGTCGCGGTCGCTGATGATCGCGGCTGGTATCCCGTGCAGTCGAACGACGGTGGAGATAAAGAGGCATGTTGTTTCTTCGGCTGTGATTGGTTTTTGCGTCGTTCCCACTCGCCCCGGCTGGTAACCCCGTGACGAAGTCCATCGTCACCTGCTGCCAAGCACGCTCTGGGGGTGGTATCGGCTGCAACTGTCCCGCCGGCTGCTGTCGTGATGATTTCATGAGCTGACAAGTGGGACATGATGCCACGTGTCGTTGTACGTCGATCAACATTTCGGGCCAGTAATAATACCGCTGCAGCTGCTGCCGTGTTTTTTCTACTCTGAAATGCATCGTTTGCATCCCGTAATAGTAATTCCCGTAGCAGTGTATACCCAGGCACCCAAATGCGGTCAGTCCCGGTTTTTACGTAATAGACTCCCTTTGCTGCTACGAACTGCTGTGAATTTCCTCCTGTGAAGAATGGATCCGTTTGGTACCCGTGGGTGAATAGGCCTGTCAATAGCGGGCTTGTCTGGGTGAGTTGTATTGCATGGATCTCGGCAGTGGGGCGGGTCAGTGCGTCGGCGATGTTCGAGGCTCCCTTTTTGTAAGTGACCGTGTAGTGAAAGTTGGACTCGAGGAAATCGAGCCAGCGAATCTATCGTGAGTTGAGGTGTGGCTGTGCGCGAAGGTACTGTAGTGATTTATGGTCTGTCCGTACTGTCACGTCCGCGCCAGTCAAGTAACAACGCCATACTTTGAACGTGTGCACGATCGCAAGCATTTCGCGGTCGTGTATCAGGTAATTTTTTTCGGGCGGATGCAGTTTTCGTGACTCGTATGCGATAGGCTGTAGGCCATTGCCGAAATCTTGTAGCAGTACGGCTCTGATGGCGATATCGCTTGCGTCGGTAACTACTTCGAATGGGCGGTGTGGGTCGGCGATGCGCAGGACGGGCGGTGAACAGAGAACAATTTTCAGGGCAGAGAAGGCAGCATGTTCTTTCTCCCCCCACGTAAAAGCTGTCAAACTTTTAGCTTGTCTAGGCTATAGTGGGGTAGACACTATGGGGTACGGTTTCCTACTTGTACCCAACCTTGTGCTAGTTCATTCATTCCTCATTCTTCACATGGTATAGAGCAGGTTCCCTAGTGGGAACGCTTCCTTGGGCCCACCACTTCGATTTTATTTCTGACCGGAGCGTCAGTTGCTCCTGCCCGATGCGCGCCTTGTTCGCCGCCCCTAGCGGCCCCGTCACCGCCCCTAGCGGCCCGGTCGCCGCCTCTCACCCTACGCGGCCCCGTCGCCGCCCCTACGTGGCCCCGACGCCGCCCCTACGCGGCCCCGTCACCGCCCCTAGCGGCCCCGTCGCCGCCCCTAGCGGCCCCGTCGCCGCCTCTCACCCTACGCGGCCCCGTCCCCGCCCCTAGCGGCCCCGCCGCCGCCCCTAGCGGCCCCGTCGCCGCCTCTCACCCTACGCGGCCCCGTCGCCGCCCATACACGGCCCCGACGCCGCCCCTAGCGGCCCCATCGCCGCCCCTACGCGACCTCGTCGCCGCCCCTAGCGGCCCCGTCGCCGCCCCTAGCGGCCCCGTCGCCGCCTCTCACCCTACGCGGCCCCGTCGCCGCCCCTATGCGGCCCCGTTGCCGCCCCTACGCGGCCCTGTTGCCGCCCCTAGCGGCCCCGTCGCCACCCCTAGCGGCCCCATTGCCGCCTTTCACCCTACGCGGCCCCGTTGCCGCCCCTAGAGGCCTCGTCGCCGCCCCTACGCGGCCCTGTCGTCACCCCTACCGGCCCCGTCGCCGCCTCTACGCGACCCCGTAGCCGCCCCTAGCGGCCTCGTTGCCGCTCCCCTCCCTAAGCGGCCCCGTCGTCGCCCCTAGCGGCCCCAACGCCGCCTCTACCGAGCGGCCCAGCAGCTGAGCCGCCCAACAGCAAAGCCGCCGAGCCGCCCAGCAGCCGAGCCGCCCAGCCGCCGAGCCGCCCAGCAGCCGAGCCGCCGAGCCCCCCGACAGGCGAGCCGCCCAACAGCCGAGCCGCCGAGCCGCCCGACAACCGAGCCGCCCGACAAACGAGCCGCCCGACAGCCGAGCCGCCCAGCAACCGAACTGCCGAGCCGCCGAGCCGCCGAGCCGCCCAGCAGCCGAGTCGCCAAGCCGCCCTGCCGTCGAGCCACTCCTGTTCCTACAGGCGCGCCCCGGCTCTACTTACTCGGACTGGTGACATCACTCCCTGTTAGGCCACTGCAGTCATGGCTACCCCCAGTGTTCTTACCTTTGATATTGAGGGTCGTGCTGTTGACTTTGAGGTCTGGGTCGATGACCTCCAGCTGTTCCTACAGTGCGATAGGGCAGACAGACTCTCCTTGTTCGATCTCACCTCTGGTGCCTCTCCTGCCCCGCCTGCTACTGCTGACAGCACTGTTCGCTCACAGTGGGCCACACGCGATGCTGCTGCCCGTCTTGCTGTGCGTCGCCACTTACCGACCACTGAGCGTGCGCACTTTAGCCAGTACAAGAGTGCTCAGACCTTGTACGACGCTGTAGTTGCACGCTACTCTTCCCCTGCCACTGCTGCACTGAGCCGCCTCATGCTACCGTACCTCTTCCCTGACCTTGCTGCCTTTCCCACAGTCGCTGACCTCATTACGCACCTCCGCATTAGTGACACTCGCTACCGCACTGCGCTTCCTGTACATCACCCTCTACTACATAGTCACCCGGCTCCCTGACTCCCTTCGCTTAGTCAGGGACCACTTCCTCTCAGTTTGCCCCACCACACTCACCGTTGACCTCCTCGAGGAGCGCCTCCTAGCAGCAGAGAAGAGCATTGTTGCTGTAGGAGCCTCTCGTGGTGACCCTCGCACCCCCGTCTTTGAGGGGTGTTCCCCCTCCCCCCTCTTGCCCTCTGTTGCCTCTGCTGCTGCGGCCGACCTCGTTGGTTTCGAGTCGGTCGGCGCTGCGTCTGCCCCTAGCGGGAGACGCCGCACCGGCAAAGGCAAGAGGGGCAAGGGCGCTGGAGGGGCTGGCGGGGGTGGTGGAGGTGGTGGTGAAGGCAGTGGAGGGGGTGGGGGTGGTGGTGGGAGTGGTGGCGGGGGTGGAGGAGCCGGTGGCAGCAGTGGAGGCGGAGGAGGCGGCGGCGGTGGCGGAGGGAGCGGAGGCGGCGGAGGTGGCGGAGGCGGCGGAGGTGGCGGAGGCGGCGGAGGTGGCAGAGGTGGCGGCGGCAGCGGTGAAGCTGGTCGCGGCTCTGCGCAGAGGAGTGGCTCCGGTGGTGGTCCGCGCCAGCAGCAGCAGCGCAGTCGTGAGACCCTGTCCCCTCAACAGCTTCGTGAGTGGTACGCTGCGCGTCAGCGCGGTGGGGGTACTGGTACTTGCACCTACGTCCTCCGTACCGGCGACCGCGCTTGTGAGCAGTGCGGGGGCCCGCACTCCACCCAGCGCTGCTTCGGCCGCCTGACGGACGCGTGGCGTCACCTGTTCCCTGAGGCCTCTGAGATCCCTCGCTGGGGAGAGCTGTCTAGGGCGGGGGTTGCTATCTTAGATCTTGCCTATGATGCTATTCTTGCTGCCATGTATGCTGTGTCTGATAGTGCTGAGGGTGACTGTAACCTGTGTGTTCCGCCTGACCCAGGCATTGAGGCTGCTGCTCTAGGTGCTGGTGAGGCTACTGCTCTAGGTGCTGGTGGGTCTGTTGCTCCAGGTGCTGGTGAGTCTGCTTTCTTAGGTACCACGTCGGCTAAGGCCTTACACACCTTCACCCTTGACTCGGGTGCTTCCCGTTCCTCCTTTCGAGACCGCACCACACTTACGCCGCTTAGTCGGCCGGTTGCAGTCTCCCTGGCGGACCCCTCTGGGGGTCCTATCCTTGCTAGCTTCTCCACTGTCTTACCGTGCCCGGCAGACCCCTCTGGCACCCTGTCCGGTCTCTACCTCCCTTCGTTCTCTACGAACCTGGTGAGTGGAACTGACCTACAAGATAGGGGGGTTGACAAGTTCACTCCTGCGAGTCAGCGGGTGACCTACTGCACGTGTGCTCAGATAGGCCGACACTTGGCCACGTTCACCCGTCGGTCGGGGTCGAGCCTGTACACACTTACTACTGAGTCTCCTCCGGCTGCTGAGTCTGGTCAGGTAGCCGCGTCGAGTCAGGTGTTTGCTGCAGCGTCCAGGTCTGGTCCTGAGTCTGCTCCCTGCTCGTGTCGTCTCCTGTCCCACCAGACTCTTCTTTGGCACCACCGCCTTAGTCACCCCTCCTTGCCTCGTCTACGAGGCATGGCCTCCCGTGTCCTTGTCTCTGGTCTCCCCCGATCTCTCCCTCCCCTACCTCCGGGGCCCGCCCCTACCTGCGTCCCCTGCGTCGAGGGGCGACAGCGCGCCGCCCCTCACTCCTCCGAGTTTCCTCCGACGGAGGCTCCACTACATACTCTTCACATGGACGTGTGGGGCCCCGCCCGCGTCCATGGCCAGGGGCACGAGCACTACTTCCTATTGGTGGTTGACAGCACGTCAGTGAGGTGTTGATCGACTGGATCCGCGCAGCTCGTCTCCAGCTCAGAGAGAGTTTCGGCTCGGACTTTCCTGTTCTGCGTCTGCACTCTGACAAAAACGGGGAGTTTTCCTCTGCCCGTCTGGGAGCCTTCTATCGAGCACAGGGCATCCGCCAGACCTTCACGCTTCCGGCCTCTCCATAGCAAAATGGGATTGCTAAGCGCCGCATTGGCATGGTCATGGACGTCGCTCGTACGTCCATGATCCATGCGGCTGCCCCCCATTTTCTGTGGCCGTTTGCGGTTCAGTACGCAGCGCATCAGCTCAACCTCCAGCCCCGGGTCTCCTTGCCAGAGACCTCCCCCACCCTGCGGTGGACGGGAAAGGTTTGCGATGCGTCTGCGATTCGGGTCTGGGGATCTCGGGCGTTTGTCCGCGACTTGTCTGCGGACAAGCTGTCCCCCCGTGCTGTTCCCTGCGTCTTCCTTGGCTTCCCCCCTGACGCGCCTGGGTGGCAGTTTTATTACCCCACCTCGCGCCTTGTTCTGTCCTCCCGACCTAAGCAGCTCGCCCCAGCGGAGGATCTCAGTAGCGTCAGGGAACTGGAGACGCCAAGCGTGCGTTAGGCGGCCAAAGCAGCGCTGGGTGGTGTGCGGGCCATCGCACGGCTCACCAGTGCGGTCGCCGGTACGCAGGATGTAGGCACAAGGACCAGCACCCACACCCCGCTGACGCGCAGTGTACCACTCGAAGCTGCTGGGGGGGCGGGGTCTCACGAGTGCGCTGCTGCTGCTGGCGCTGACCGCCACCGAAGCCGCCCCGCTGCGCAGAGCCACCCCGACCAGCTCCACCCCCGCCGCCGCCACCTCCGCCACCGCCGCCACCGCCTCCTCCTATGCCCCCACCGCCACACCCGCCTCCGCTTCCGCCTCCACCGCCGCCACCGAAGCCCCCACCCCCGCCACCACTCCCACCGCCACCCCCACTCCCTCCGCCGCCTCCACCGCCACCTCCACCGCCCCCGCCAGCCCCTCCAGCGCCCTTGCCCCCCTTGCCCGTGCCGGTGCGGCGTCTCCCACTAGGGGCAGACGCAGCGCCGACCGACTCGGTGCCAACGAAGTCGACGGCAGCAGCAGAGGCAACAGAGGGCAAAAGGGGGGAGGGGGAGCACCCCTCAAAGAAGGGGGCACGAGGGTCACCACGAGAGGCTCCTACAGCGACTATACTCTTCTCAGCTGCCAGGAGGCGCTCCTCGAGGAGGTCAACGGTGAGTGTGGTGGGGCAAACAGAGAGGAAGTGGTCCCTGACCGAGCGAAAGGATTCAGGGAGCCGGGTGACTATATAGTAGAGGGTGATGTACATGGGGGGGGGGGGGGGTTCTTGGCGCAGAACTCGGCACGAAGCGCAGCGCGGTAGCGGGTGTCACTAGTGCGAAGGTGCGTAATGAGGTCAGCGACTGTGGGAAAGGCGACGAGGTCAGGGAATAGGTACGGCAGCATGAGGCGACTAAGGGCAGCAGTGGCAGGGGAAGAGTAGCATGCAACTACAGCGTCGTACAAGGTCTTAGCACTCTTGTACTGACTAAAGTGCGCGCGCTCAGTGGACGCCAAGTGACTACGCACAGCAAGACGGGCAGCAACATCGCGTGTGGCCCACTGTGAGCGAACAGTGTTGTCAGCATCGGCAGCAGGGGCAGCAGAGGCGCCTGACGTGAGATTGAACAGTGAGAAACCGTCTTTCCTATCGCATTGTAGGAAAAGCTGTAGATCATCTACCCAGACCTCAAAGTCAATAGCCCGACCCTCAGCATCAAAGACTAGAACGCTAGGGGTAGCCATGACAGCAGTGGCAGCAGGCTAGGGGCAGCAACAGCAGGCGTGGCTCGGCGGTGCTCTTACCAGGGCGGGTGTGTAGGGGCCCGCAAGCGGTGGGGCAGGGCCGAGGCGCGTCGGCGGGGATAGGGCCGCGACCGCGGCGGCGGCTCCTGCTGTCAGCGGCGGCAGCAGTTGCGGTCCCGGCAGCGGCGGTAACGGCGGTCACGGCAGCGGCGGTGGCAGTTGCGGCTGTCGGCGGCGACTGCTGCTGCTGTCGGCGGCCACCGCTGCTATCGGCGGCTTCTGCTGCTGTCGACGGCAGCGGCTGCTGCTGGCAGCGGCTGCTGCTGTTCGCGGAGGAGCCGAGAAGGGGCCACGAGGGACTGTGAAGGGGCCGCGAAGGGCGGCGACGGGGCCGAGAAGGTCGGCGACGGGGCCGTGAAGGGTGGCGACGGGGCCGAGACGAGCAGCGACGGGGCCGCGAAGGGCGGCGACGGGGCCGAAAAGGGCGGCGACGGGGCCGAGAAGGGCGGCGACGGGGCCGCAAAGGGCGGCGACGGGGCCGCAAAGGGCGGCGACAGGGCCGAGACGGGCAGCGACGGGGCCGCGAAGGGCGGCGACGGGGCTGAGAAGGGGCCGCGAGGGGCCTCGAAGAGCGGCGACGGGGCCGCGAAGGGCGGCGACGGGGCCGCGAAGGGGCCGCGAGGGGCCACGAAGGGGCCGCGAGGGGCCTGAAGGGGCCGCGAAGGGCCGTGAGAGGGGTCGTGAGGGGCCGTGAGAGGGGCCGCTACGGGGCTGTAAGGGAGCGCGACGGGCCGCTAAGGGCAGGGGACGCGACGGGAGGGTAGGCACACGGGGCGCGACTCGGGCAGGGGCGAAGCGCGCTCCGGGCAGGAAAAAATGATTTTCGGTGGGCCCTAGGAAACGTTCCCACTAGGGAACCTGCTCTATACCATGTGAAAGAACGAGGAAGAAAATGCACTAGGAAATAGGTGGGTACAAGTGGGAAAACCTAAAAGTGTTGTACCCAATATTGTCTACCCCACTACAACATACACAGACTATAGCATATAAGTTTGAAACGCAGCCAATCACGTCCCGGTAAAATATCTGCCCATCCAGTGTCGTTGCGAGCATTTCCAGTGTAAACCCGAAATTTCCCCCGCAGCGGACTTTGACTCTCTCTACCTTTTTCCCGTATGGCTAGTGGCGTGCCGTCGACTAAGCGTGCGTCTATCTCCGGTAAGCAACGGCTAAGTGTCAGCTGCCGTTTTCGTACGGTTGGGGTATTAACTAAACTGTGGCTTGCTCCTCCGTCGATAAAAATCTTCACTGCTGCTCCCTGTATTTTCCCGTGGATCAGTATTGGGCAATCCGTCGCTGTACCCTCCTTCTTCGTCCGAGTCCGATCGATAGCATGAATCGGTACTGTGACTCGGTGAGGGTCGGTGGGGTTGGGTGAGCAGGCAGTCTCGTCAGTAGGTGGCCCGATTCCTACTGACTGCTGGCGTTTCCCTGCTTTGGAGACTCCCTTCCCTACTCTGCTCCGCGGCGCCTTAGCTCTTCTGGGCATTCGCTCTTGCGATGGCCCGGCCTGTTGCAAGCAAAGCAGCGCCCCTTAAACGGCGCGGCAGCTGCATTCGTCGCAACAGCGTGTACAGTGGCGTGCTCGATCGGTCCCCGAGGACGATGTCCATAGTAGGACCCCGTTCTCGGACGGCGTAAAATGTCGATTTTCTCGGCGAGCGCGAGAATCTCGTTGAAGTTCGAGAGCCCGCGTAGCATGATTTCGTGCGAGATGTCCGGCTTCAGCCCTCCGACGTAACAGTCCACCCGCTCCGCTTCGTGCATGTAGCCGACTTGCTCGCATAATGCGAGAAAACCACTCGTATAGTCTTGAACCGATCCAAGCTGCCGCCAAGTGCGCAATCTCTGACGCGCCGAAATAGAAGTCGCGATCGGCTCGAAGCGCGCCCGAAGCCCTGTGCACCACGCATCCCACGTGCTGTATTGGGCGGTCTCGCAGAATGAACTCCAGGTGACAGCTGGGCCCGTGGGCCCTTCCTCTTGCGACGGTGGCTCGTAGGCGCGTGGCGACGTCACGATGACTCGCCGCCAGTCCATGGCGGGGCCCCTTAGCAGCGAAACGGCATAC